TGATTGGATGAATTTATCGGGAAAAACTTGATCATCAGTTGACATTTTTAGGGCAGTTTTTGTGGTTTTCTGTAGCCAGTTTTGTGGTCTGCTTTCTGAAGAATTCCACTTGGCGTATACTTAACTTGTAGAGCACTTGTAAAATAGTTGTGTTGAGCAAAAGCAGAGAGTACTACACATGCGATGGAGATTCCCATTACTTCCTAGTTACTGAATGACAGAGCTTTGATATTCGTGCACAACAGCATCTTTGTGCGACTCTCAACTCTTGCTCAACACGAAAGAAAGGAAGGAGGCGAGACGGCTGGTAGTATTCAGCCACTGTGTTTCAAAGGTTGGGTATTTCTATCTTCCTGTAGCCCAGCTTTTCTGAAATTTCCATTTACTGTCGCTGATTTACTCCATAGGTGATGCATGATTTATTAGTCTCTGTACAGCTTTTATTTAAATAGAACGAGTTCACAACAGCATAAGCATAAAATCTGTGTTCGTAAAGCAAAGAGTTTCTGATTTTGCTCATTAGCTGTGTACTTTGATGAAGGGTTTTTTTGGGAAGATTTGCATTGCCCTCTCTCGGGAAGGACCTTAGTAAGCGCTGGCGTCGCTCTGTGCTGTGTGCTTCAGACTGAGATGAGCTGCAGCTCAAGACGCCAAAATGCTGGAGAGAACGTCCAGCTGAGTTTTTCTTGTTCCTTCGGCTCAGACTCAGTGGCTTGACCCTTGTCTGTGTCCAGTGATCTGATTGGTCACACGTGTAAACACATTGAGGATGTAAATGTAAACAATCATTTAAATGATAACTTTGGGTTTATTGGTCAGTACCACTGGACGTGCACACTGCACAGTCAGCGGTCTCCTTTAAATGAATAAGGGCTGCTTCTTGTGACTGTTTGATATCAGCGAACACAGGCTGGCAGTAAAAAATAACCCGTGTCGTTCGTGTGTGTGTGAGAGTAGGTTTAATGGATTTCTCCAGGCAACTGGCCTCCCATAAACCTGACGTCACCTCCCTCCCTTTAATGCTCTCCCCTGTCGCTCCCTTTCTCCCCCACCTCCTGCTCTTTCTTCCTCACAGCATAAAACGGCAATATTTTTGTCAGTAACTCAGTCTGGACTCCTCTTTTATTTTGTTTTTTTAAAGGGTGCCCTTCATTCACTCCCACTGCGCTTGTTTCTCTCTCTTTTTAAAACAGACAGGAGATCAATTTATTGGTGTTTTTCTTCTCCTTGTGTCTGTCTTCTTCTCCCTTCCTGTCTCTGTTTTTCTCACACTCACACACTGTTAAATGCCTTCGTCTCTCTGGTTTTGTCTCTCATTTGTTCACGGTAACCTTGACCTGACTGCAGTGGGACCAGCCTGTAAACACACACACACACACACACTCCTCGGTGTGGCTTGTTGTACCACAGGTGCTGGTCCAGTCGTCCATTTTTGTGACTCACCATCATCTATACACACCTCTGCCTACTTCAGCTGTCTATATCTTACTCCGTGTTTGTTCTTTTTCCATCTGAGGGGTGAAACTGCGTGTGCGCCTGCTGTGCTTTGTTATTCATCGCTGTGCATCCACCTCCTCTCCGTCGTGTAGACGGCGTTGGAGTAAATGGGATGGTCATTTCATCCAGCTGCAGCGTGTGTGTGCGTGTGCATGGGCATATGTGGTCTTTTGTGAGAGCTCGTGTGTAAGAGCAATGTAATTCGTCTGTGTGTGTGTGTGTGTGTGTGTGGGAGGCAGCGTTTGATTATCTGAATCATTCGCCTCAGTGAACACAAACCCCATCTCTTTCTCCAGCCCTTTATCTTTGTCAACATGGCACACACACACACACACACACACACACAGTATAACTGTGGAAAACACTCAGTGAACACAGACCTCAGGCCCTTATAGCTGAATCTGAAACACTGAACCACAGCACAACAAAACACCCATTTACCAAAGTCACCCTTAAAGCAGCGTTTTTATCTTTATCTGTCCTGCTGCTGTTGTGTAGCTCTTTATTTTAGGTTGATATCAAGTGATTCTATATGAATGTGGAAAAAATGAATCATGTTCCTTTTAGACTGAAAAGGGAATATGCAACACACAGTTGGATCCATGCGTTATTAGACTTTTACTT